TAATAATTAATTCAGTGTAAGCAACAGTAACATTTTGATGAATGCGGAATTAGTTGCAGAAAACAATCTATCCCATTTACCGCAGTATTATTTAGTGTTTAAACGTCGTTGATATTGACTAATAGTTATTGGGTTCCACAAGTTAACATCTCAACTCGACAGAAATGTCACCTCAATGACTGACACATTCAGCAACAGTACAATAAATCAAAATAAACACGAAATTTATGTGCTGGAAACCCCAGCCGGAAGGGAACATAAATATTCCGTAAAAGTTTCTATTTTCGGAAGAACCGAAACCGTTTTATCTCCCGAGGAAAATGATGAACTAAAATTAAATGAAAAGAGGTAAAACCCCAAGCCAGCTGTCGAACGTTCGCAGCTGGAAATCCGATTTTATGGCGGCAACGCAATCTGCCATCTTCCTGTTTTTCGACAAGGGTGGCGGATCACTCGAAATAGTTTTAGAGTGTGCTAAAACCGTTAGTACCCATAATAGTCTAGTCCAAGAATATTTATTCTCGATCCCGGTTTATAATAGACCGTATCGAGTAAGGATAGCATTTGGAGCACATGTTTTTATTTTTGTTGGCTACTCTGTATTTGTCATCACTGTCAGTTGTCATGGGAATCGTTCGAGACGTCACTTCAAATGACATAACTTCAGATATAGAACAAAACTCGAAAAATGTATAAGTATAGGTTAGGTTAGGTCTGAAGTGAGTGGGTCCATTCGACTCTCCACCGCACTGAATTAATCAAATATATGAAATCATTATAGAGTGTAGAATTTCAGGGCCTGTGATTTAATCAATTATTCAATAAGTCAAATATACTTTATTATCTGAAGATAAATGCATCTCATACATAAAGTATTATAAACATAAATAGGTGTGTAGAATTTCAGGGCCTGTGATTTAATCAATTATTCAATAAGTCAAATATACTTTATTATCTGAAGATAAATACATCTCATACATAAAGTATTATAAACAATAAAGGAATATAAAGTCTATATAAAAAAAAACATACGAAACAACACGAGAAATACACAGACGCATACTCGACTAGAAATACCAACCTAATAAATGGGGGTTAGTTACAATCTGTCAGTATTCAAGAGAATCATCATGATGCTCCTGAACTGTATAACAAGTAGTATTTCCACTGCTTTTTCGAATTTGTTGAACACTGTTATTTATTTTAATTCGGGCTGGTAGGTGATTCCGTTTGATTCCGCAGAATATCATTGAATCACTAACTAGGGAGCTAGCAGGAATAAGGAATATGCAGGTCTACGTTTCTGTTGTGACTGCCGTTTAACAGATTATGTGCTGTTTTGCATTTCTACATTGTCTTCAATAATGCCTGTCACAGTTGCAGACGACGGGTCCGCAAACCTGCAGACCAACGGCTAATGAATCGAAAAACTGCAACTGCAAATACTCTGTTAGATGAGAAATACTCTGTTAGATTTTACCGTTTAATCTATGTACTGTTGTACATAGATTACTCTATGTGATCTATGTTGAACAGAGCATGAAAGAGAAGAAGAGATGGTAATGGCCCTGAGTCACTTTGAGGTGAAACTGACCATATGCTGGGACAAAGTGTCAAGGTGTTAATGACGCGCAGAAATACGTACTTTGCACCTTGTTGGCAACACTGATGACAACTGACACAAATGACACATACACAGAGTAGCCAATATAGTAAAAATAAACACGCATCAAATAAAATATTTATTTGATATGGTCATGACTGATAAGGTGAGGTCAATTTATTTGGAATACATTTTAAAATGTTTATGAATAAAATATTCTAAAAGTTATAAATACTTAAGTGAAAAATGTTGATTAATAAATTCAATTTTCAAGAATATTTTTTTAAAACGGGTTTTCAACTGAATATCTTATATAGTTTTTGAGATAATTGCAAAAACCAAAAACTTTTATTTTCACTTGATTGATTATAAATTTGTGCCGGCACTTATTTGGAATTTTCATTAAGTTATTAGATGCCATTTCGAATCAAATGACACTTTGATGAAGATTCAAGTTTTTGATAAAAAGCACTTGTGAACTAGACTATAACGATGTATCCTGAGGTATTTCCTGACAAAACACACACACGGTCACATCCTTGGTACGAAAACAGGAATCGGGGAAGCGGGTTAAAATGTGCCCTTGCATTTCACAAACAAATATAACGATATTTTTGTTTATTATTTCTGTTATGAATGAATGAACTTGTGAATATGACTATATCGTTTGGAAGGAAATTATACTGAATGTCCCAACGAAATTGATTCAACATCGATATCTCACTTTTTCTTCTCGATCCATATAGGCGCTCCTATAGAGGCGCTCCATATAGGCGCTCCAGAGAGGTCGAGTTGTATTTTTATAGATATTTTCAATCTCTGCATGATTCATTTTATGGATACGTAACGTAACGTTTTCATTTAAAATAATTCCATTAAAAAAATTACCTCCGTTAATCATCATAAAGAAAAATTAGGTACACACATTTTTTAGAATAGACACTCAATAATTTTAAAATATTACTTTCAGAGTTCATAACAAAACCATGCATGCAAATCCACAAATATTGTGAAAAGAACTCTTCCACCTACCTGAGAGAATGTGTGGTTTATTTGCGATGGTAATTCACAATGTACGTTAGATTTGGAAAAGTATGTCCATCGCGTTCACCACATTTATGTCCATCAGAATTTCATTCCTGTAGTCTTATAAAATTGTCGATGCATGAACTTGAAGATGATTACTGACGAAAATAGTATATTCTTTTGATCTCATTTCAAAATCCACAACAGAAAAATATGAGTTTGTGTACTTTCTCAAAGTGAACATTTGAAACATTTATTTCAACAGTGTTTAAGACATTTCCACAATCATCGACATCAAGCTGAAAAATTAAATTTTCAAAATCTACGATATTTATTATGAAAAAAAGTTATCAAAAATGTTGTTGATAATCAACTGTACATTTACTATTTGGTAAACCCTTAAATAATAGGGACATTATATTATTGATATATGGTCTCTATACAAATGGAAGAGAATTCCTAGTTCTGGTTTATTGGCAACTAAAAAGTGAGGATAATTCAAAGATTACCGACAGCTGCACTTCGATATAATAACAGAGGGCAGATGCCAACTTTTAATCGGCCTCTCCAATTTTCTTGTGTCTAAAGCAGGTAACAGTCATGACAAAATCCGTTAATTCGGATCTCAGAAAACAGGCATTTGAAGTGTGCCTTTTGAAGGGTAACATGCAAAAATAGTTCAGGGGCCCAAAACAAAAGCAACAGCGATTGAAAATAATAATGGAAATGTCTTTTTGAATGGGTGACATTATTTTATTGAAAGTAGTTGTTTCGGTTGGATTTTTCATTCCAGTATGTATCTGATAGACTCTTCTGTGCGTCTTTCTGAAGAATTTTTATTGGAGTTGATTGATTTCTTTCTTTCTCCTGAAGTTTTCCACATATTTTGTTTGACGATGGTGAATTGATGTATTGCTAAAATTCTTACAGAATCAAGCGAAAAGAAAACTGAAAAAAGATGCTTGCAAGGTCATATTATTTCAATATTTTATAGATGTGGCGACTTCGACGACTTTTTTTTCAACAGGAAATAGAAAATTTTCAAAAAAGTTCAAATAATTCTACGCCAACAAATGACTGAATATGTGGATTTGTGTTGTCGGTTCTGCCAGTGCCGGTTCGTTAGCTCGATCATCAGGAATGTAACTATAAACCTTGGACAGCTATAATTTGTCAGCAGCTTGTATTATCAAAGGTTGTCTTATGAAATAAGTTGAATTAATGGAAGCATAATTTGTTCATTCAGCTTTTCTTTATACTGGCTGCTTCGAAAAGCATTCCAAACCAAATTTCTTCTCAAAAGACGTCTCGTTTCAAACTTTGGTTTGATAAGAGTAAATAGAGTAGAAATATCTAGAATCTAGATGGCATATCGTATAGTCTGAAGTTGTTGGAAAACACAGTGTAAGTAGCGTGAAAGCTTTTTTCCGGGTTTCTTTGGTGCACGTGGTGTTGAAATTGTTGTTCCCGTTGTGCCTAACACAGAAACTACGATTTTGTATTATTATTGGTGTGTGGCTTGCTTTCTCTAAATCGGATTACTCGGCCTTATTTGTGTATAACTGAGAACAGGTAGCCAGGTTTTAATAATGTTCATTTTTTCTTCTTTTGTATTGAAATTATACCATTGTTTTTGAATTTCTATTGTCTCTCTGTACATTGCTAGATATTAATTTTGAGTTTTATCGATTATTTCGTAGTTTCTGCTTCGTAAACAACCCGAACACCAACTCGGGCACTAAAAGACGAAAAAGATAGTTTTCGTTATCCTCTGCCATTGAAAGTTTACAAACAGTTCAAGTTCAAATTTCTGTCTCCAACCTCTCGTCAGATAAGCTGATATCTTTTTACGAATTTATCTTGTTCAATAGACAAATGCAATACATACTAATTAGTGAATTATCAGGATCAACTTCTCAGTTTCAATTCATCACACTTAAGCAGAGTATCTGTTGTGTTTAAATTGTGGAAAGTTACAAACTCAAAAACAAAAAGAATGAGTATGAAAAATATCAGTCTTGGTTATTATTCCATACGATATTTGTTACATTTTTATGAACGTTTTTACAGTCGCTTTATACAACAATCTAGTGATCACCCTAATCAATAAAAGTAAAAGTTCATATCCCTAAACTTATGAAGCAGTATTATGAGATGGGATATCGACCTGTGGAAAATTCCACAAATCCTCGTTCAACGATCTGAAACCCACCGTGCCTTCCAAGTAAAACCGTGTAAACGGATCAATAAGTCCACTCCCTCTCCTATTGGTCTCCAGTCACTCTTTTTCCTTGATTTGTGCTTTGCTCTCACTGCCGAAGGGTGATCCTCCGTGTGATTCTGTGTTCTGAATCATTTTTTTTTGTTGCAGCCGGTACTAAAAGTCTTTCAAAATAGGGTACTACAATAGAGAACGTAAAATGGCTCTAGAAGCTTCCGCATCGCCAATCAGATTTGCACTCAGCCCGGAATGGGGTATACTTCCCGTCATGAGAGACTTACAAGATGAAGAAGATATCCTTCCTAAAGGTGAGTAGTACAAGTTCTACCTAACATAATTGCAGTTTCGTCCTAAATGATTTATGTAACTAGGTTTCCTTTGTTTTCAATGCGCTTTCGATATATATCAGACTGTGCTATCATCTTCATGGCTCTACTCAAACTGAACGTTTTATCTTCTTGTTTGTTCTTTTATACGGTTAGATCGCCTTAGTGAATTTTTTATTGTTGTTGATGGTTCATTAATTAAGGCTTGGGCAGGTATTTGTCCTTCCACTTCATCCAAATGCCTTTTTAAATTTGCCTGTACTTGGGTTATATCATGTAATATCCTTTGTGTTGGTGTTTCTCCAGGTTCATTATTTCTAGGAATGTGTATTGTTATCGAGGAACAAATACAAATCAAAATACAACAAGACCTAACATTCAATATACTCCACAAAACAATACACATTTCTAGAAACAATGAACCTAGAGAAACACCAATACAAAGGATGTTACCTAATGTAACCCAAGTGCAGGAAGAATGGGAAGGACAGGTACCTGCCCAAGCCCTAATTAATGAACCATCGACAACAATAACAAATTCACTGAGGCGATCTAACCAAATAAAAGAACAAACAAGAAGATAAAACGTTCAGTTTGCGCCAAAATTTATTTAATATTCAGATAACCCTCATCCTCTTTTGTAAAAATCAGAGTTGGTTTGGGCCCAGAAGGTTGATATTCTATGTTGTTCAGTTAATTTCAGCTAATTAAAGGGTATTATAGATTCTGAATTCAGGTGAAAAAATTAATTTAGTTTTCCGGGTACCATATGAGCGGTTTTTCCCTCATATCTAGCCTATCTGTCTGTGTCTTTCGAACTCGTATTTGTTACCATAATTGAAAATTTAATCCACGTAAAATTCCAGTTGCAAATAAATGAATATAATAGTTCGATGTGAGAAAAAAATAATCAGTCGGCACTCACTAGCGGATATATGCCACTAAGAAAATAGTTCTCCTTCTGGTATTTACTTGATGTAAAATAAATTTGTCTCCAGAAAACTCCTAAAGTTATCTGAGGTTTGTCTCATCGTTCTGAATTTTCAGTAGAAAGCTAAAAAAAAAATTATATTTCAAATATTAATATCTACCTAAAATACTCTTTTTACAGTCTCTTCTTACCTAATGATTGAAAATATGTTTTCTAACACCTGGGCTGGAAAGTCCCGGATGTAAGAAAGAAAACGCGATTTTTTTAAGGTTAGGACCAACTGAAAAAGCGGTGGACGCAATACGACTAGCCCCATCTATGTGTTCAGCCCGATACTTTTGAGCCCATGTAGTATACACATAAGAACACCAGTTTTAGCCATCACTTGGTGATGGTGACTTGCTTATTCCTTTACATACTACCTACTTAGGTTTTCAACTGTGGAATTTTCAATTATGTTGAAAGAAAAAGCGGAGCCAAAGCTTCTGTAACGATTTCTTTCTAACCCAACTTGATGATCCAGATCGTAAAGAGAAACAAAACTACCTCACCGCAAAGACTCAATTTCCAAAAAATATTCCCTTTCAAATATTTTCATCATTTACCAATAACCAATTATTCTTTTCCAGATCCCCGTCAGTGGACTAGGGACGACGTTGGAGAATGGGTACGATATGTGACGTCACTTCACAATATTCCCGAAGTACCCTCCTCTAGGTTCCAGATGAACGGAAAAGCGCTCTGTCTCATGTCGCCCAGTATGTTCCTGGCCAGAGTCCCACTAGGAGGAAAACTATTGTACAAAGATTTTCAGCTCAGGTTGTCTTCTGCCTTATATGCCGAAAGCAGTAGGAGATGAAAAAACCCGCGATTCATTCCAATATGGTTCGAGAAGAAACATGATTTAGTGTAATCGTAACTAGTCGATTTTTCTGTTGTCAGTGAAAATTAATGTAAGGGACATTTTACCGGGTTGCCAGAAGGTTTTGTCATCAACAATACTATTTTTTTCAATATGACATGTAAGAATGATTCTTACATGTCCCATTCATTCATTTATTCGTTCAGTTCCAATCAATGGCCAAATTAGTCAATATAATAATCAACTTAAACAAAATTTCCAGGTACGTTAGTACCAAGACAGATTAAAAATCCGGTATAATCTCTTGGAAGAAAAATCTCGACCCCGACTTTTTTGATGAAGAGATTCATAATAAATCGATTAAATGTTACACTCATACCACAGATGGTTAAGCACAAACCGACTAGCACAAGACTATAAGCGTTTGATATCTCAAAATTGTTTACGTTTGGAAATAAATATGGAATAGAAATAAAACTGGGGAAAATATAACACTATTTATGTGACAAATTGGAAATGTCCAAACAAAAAGTAAGACGATAAATGCCATGTTGTAATATTATCGTTGGAACTGGGCAAAGGTCATAGTAATCGATCCCATCAGATCAAAGAAAAGAAAGGAAGAAAATGCGCAGAGTTCGATTCTTGCGCCATCTACAAACTCATGTAAGAAGATGTTCCTATCTAATTAATTATGACAAAACAAAATCAAAAAGGAAACACCTAGGTTATATTAATCTTGGTAATCGGTTTTAACTTTGGAATAAAGGATAATGAGAACAAATGCTGAAACAATTGTTCTTCACTTTGGCGATAATTTTTTATTATCAGATTTTTATATTAGCCATTTGATTGTATTAATTTTTCTTATGGTTGTCCCTAGAACATATGAGAAATAACTTTATCTCAAATATAATTCTGGTGAACTTGGTAATTTTGTTTCCTTGTCTTGTCAAATGTCACCGAACGATGTGAAATGTGAAGTATATTTGTGTGTTTACTTGAAGCATTACTGGGAAGGATCGCAATAATATCAGTCCTGGAGAAGAGAATGTTATACTTGTATTTTGTGGACCCCCCACGTTCAATTTAGGGAAGTAAGAATTTTCCAAAAAAGTTCACTTATTACATTCGATTTCAATTGTCTTACATGCTGTAGCTATCTATTTATTTCCTACCTCAGCTGATGAGAGGTGAGCTGTTTGGGAATGAAACTGTCAAACGTCAAATGAATTTAGTGATAGTATTTCAGAAAATACTTTCAATTTCATTATTTTATTTAGGTAATGGGTCAATATAAGATGAATATAATTTCTTCCCAAACAGACTTCATCTTGATGATCAGTATCCTGTTAATTTGGGATATTTTACATTGTATTTATTTAGGTTGATAGACTGAGAGTTTAAATTTTATAATTTTATTGAGTTGTATATTTTGTTTACTAGTCATGTATATATGTTTTATTATTTAATGAAGTAACAATAAAAAGGAAGAAAACTGAATTTGAGTTTGAGTTGGTTATATAAAACAAAACAAATACTTTTTATCAGTCACAATAAGTCAAATCACAGAACAAAAACAAACAACGCGCTTTTGGCAAACCAAGGTAACATCATAAAGAGATTGTAAAGACTGTCAGTTTCTCCTTCTGGTGTTAAACGTTAAAATTGGGTGTCGAAACTCTTATTTATGTCCAGAGAAGCTTGATTTAGATTAAGTTCTTCAGAGCCCAGCTTACTGCAGGCATTAAAAAGGCATATTTTTGCGCTAGATTTTGCAGCTGTTGAAATCGATCATGAATTTCACCAAAAATATGCTTCCTCCTGATTGGTCTTGGGGGTTCGAAAGAAATTTCAAGTTGTTCGCATAAACTTTTGGAATAATCCTCTAGATTTTCTTGTAATAAAGTCTCTGAAGCATTTATTTTCTGGGCAAAGTGGTGTATATTCAGTGCCTCGGTTTGCAAATATTACTGAGTATCATTAACCTAACGCAGTACTGGATATCAGGAGCCCAAGTAACTTGAAAATTAAAATGACTGCATGGCGACTAATGAACTTGGTGCATTCGTACGTGTGTTCAAACTTTTATATGGTACGATTAGTATTTTCAATGTTTCTTTGCAAGAAGAATCACCCACCGGTGCGATGACGTTAGCGTTCTAGCGTGCCAAAGAAAGTGACAGAATTTACTTCAGCTGTAGCTGCACGTAGGCAAACTAGGTTTGAGGGATGGTTAGAACAAGGAACAAACTCGGCTCAGGGATATATATATTTCATCCGCTGTTGCACACCTGTGGGGCATTAAGCCATCGTAACAGCGTTATCGTGACCTTGCCCTCTACGAATATCTAAGTATTTTTTACATTTTCCAAATATATGAATTGGCGCTTCCTGCCGCCCCCTTTCGTATGCCGCCTGAAGCCGTGGCCTCCACCACCCTCTCAAGCTACGCCACTGGCAATATGCATATAATGTAGAATGTCCCTGTTGTCAAAGAATACAAAGCCCATAGAAGCTCAGTACTGGCTCATACATATCAATTTTCTAATCTCATGAACGTTTTGCTTCTTTGAGGTTTGGCAGTTTTTTCATGATTATTTTTTTCTTATAATCTACTCACGTTACGGGTGGAAAAACAAAGTTGAAATTATAGATCAATTTGTTTCACTGGAGTATTGTGACGTCTATTGACTAGTAGCTGAAGGTTCATAACATAGAAGGAAACTTGTGAGATTTTCTGACACGACAGTTTTAGTTTGGCTATTGCCCACTAGATGGTGCACCATGCGTACTTGAGAGGCATTGAAAAGTTTCAATTTGTTTTGTTTGCAATATTTTGAAACTGCTTTGTGCGTTGTCAATTGACAAGTAACCATTGCGAAACTCTACTAAAACTATAAGATTTTAATGAATTGATGGATGTAGCCGTTACTATGTGGTAGGAGATCATGATGAAAAGAGAAATGAAAATTTCTATGTTTTTTACCACTTTTATTTGTAACTAACGTTACTGCAGTTTCGTCCTTTATGGACATTTTCAAACTTAAACAATAAAGTTTGGACATTTCATGTTCTTATAATTTATTAGTTACGGGTGGAAAAACATAGTGAACAAGTTTAAATTCTGGATCAAATTGTTTCACCCGAGTATTGTGACATCTGTGAACTAGAAGCTAAAAGCAACATAGAAGGAAACTTGTGAGATTTTCTGACACTACCGTTTTAGTTTGGCTATTACACACTAGATGGTAGACCGTGCGTTCTTTAGAGGCATTAAAAAGTTTTAATTTGTTTTTTGCAATATTTTAAAACCGCTTTGTGCGTTGTCGATTGACCAGTAACTATTGCGAAACTCTTGTAAACTTATAAGATTTAATTTTGAATGAATAAGATTTCTGACGGATGTGAATGAAACACAACGTTCTGAATAACTCCAGTTAGGGAAATAGTATATCCATAATTTCTAGTATTCTGCATTCTAATCTAATTTAAATAGTTGGTTATGTAAATCAGGACACCGTACGAATGATTAATCACCCTATTCGATTGTGGGAAACTGACTGAACATATCGAAAGTCAAAATATTTTTACTCAACAACCATATCATAAAATAAACGATTTATGGCTGAACAATTTTATGCCTTGAAAGTGAATGTTATCTAGCCATAAAGAATTTGATTGAGTTTTATGTTTTAACGGCAGTTTTTTCAACAAATACAATAAGTGTAAGTGTAGGAATAAGAGTTTTATAGCATTCGATAGGCCATTTCAGATAACGCTTATAGCTTCAGAAGTAGCAGACTAGTTGACAATATACCTATCAGTTGGAGCGGTTTGAGAGAAAACCAACATAGGTATTTCAATTGGAGGCAACTGAATTTTGGGAAATAATAGAATTGGTATGTATGCCGGAAAAATTATGCATACGTTTTACCTGTAGAAAAAATTACTCTTCCAAAATAAAGTCTATTTTTTTTGGCATAACTTTTTGAATTTCTATTTCGTTTACTGAGAAATTACTAAACTTCTATACGGTGGTATGGATTTAATACTAGCAGCGCCATCTGTGTGATAACCCACGCACTTTTCAGAACACCTAATAGTCATATTAATACTTTACCTGCACGATTCAAAGATCTTGAGACATGCAAGATATTTATATAATATGAATCTTACGCATTGTGTTATTAAAATAAATGGCCTTGTTTTGATATATTGCTGCCAGGGCCGTCGCCATGGGGGGATGGGGGGGAGCCTCCCCCCTGCGTTTTCGACTTGTGAAGAAGTTGGGAAATTTTGGGCCGTGAAGATAGAAAAAATAATAGTAGAAAACAATAAGCATAAGATTATTTAAGTATTGTTTCCTTTCATTTGTATTGAATATTCCTATACATGGTGGAAATGGTGGAAGACCAAGGATCTTGGTCCAAAGTAGAATAATTCCCATTATTATTTTTATGATTACCATAATTTATTTTTGTTTGTGCATACCCTAACGGTAGATTATGAGATTTACACCGTTATTTACAATTCCACGAGCGGGAAGATGGAATCTTGCACAACGAAAGAGTGCATTGCAGATGAAGAAGAAATCGCACGAGTGGAGCGCCGTGTTCAGTGTTGCCAAGTATGCTTTTTTTGCAATAGGTCTCATGTTTTGGCTCTTGAGTTTATTCTACTATTTGAGAGTTGAAATATACTAGTGACTAAGTTGACCATCTATAAATTTCATTAAATCACTGTGAATAGTGAAAATTATCATGTACGCTTCATAAAATACAGGTTTTTGTATCAACCAACTGGTTTTCTGACACAAAATCTATTGCTACGCATGAAAATAAACTGGCAACACTGGCCGTTTTGGTATGGCTATTTTGACTTGCAAACACAATTTTGAAAAGTGCATTTGACTCAGCTTATAACTCAACACAATATTTGTTAATTCTAAGGCGGTACGACTCGAGAAAAGTCGAACCTAAATAAGAGCTTGAATAAACCTGAATATGTTAACGTCATTGAATTTTCAACACTTCTTTAAACGTGATAATTATAGAAGCGATAACTCGAACGAACCTGAACAAAACTATCAATAAAGAAAGTTGGTTATGAATTGCCTCGTCTCGGAGGCTTTAGCTTTCAACACAAAAACACACTATAGCACCAATCTGAGTGTTTATCTTTGAGATTGCCTTAATTGATTGCTGAATTATTTTGCTTTACTGCTAATGCAGTCTGCATGGTTTCACGACAACTCTCTATTTTCATCAGATTGCACGCTTCTACAAAGAGTTACTGTCGAAAGCTACTGTTGAATATTGCATGGATGATTTCACAGATTGAATAAGTTTTCAATATTTTTACAACTTGAATTGTGTCAATCTACAAGGTATAGTCGAAGTAAACGATATCGTGCACATTTAAAGGTGGCGGTACTCTCAAAGGTCAAAAAAACTAAGACTTAGCAGTTCGTATTGGATACTTTTTACTAACAGAGCTTTATGATTGGCTGAAGAGTCATAAAATTAAATTTGAAGTCATGTTACAGTGACAAATAGAAATCGGGGAAAATTATCGCCGTCGTGTTCAGTTCAGAACTGATCGCGATTTGAGTGTTGAAATTCGATATCGGTGTAGTTATAATTACTTAAAATTTTTGTTATCTGTTTAAAATTTGGCGTCCTTGGATAAGTACTAATCGTAATAACAACGCAGACTTTTTCCAGTGTAGTGATTCCAATAGCAATGGGTAACAATGCGAAAAAGAGATACCAGGGAATAAGATTCGGATGCATTTGAATATTGAAACACAGAGAGTATGTTTCAATGTATATAAGACTCTACATGTCAAATTTGGTTTCGAGGGAAACAAACTATTACAAGCAATATCAGATTTTACCGAAATTCCTTTCTAAACTGTACGTGAAATAGTACATAACGTGAGCTGCTGTGATATAACTCTTCAGAATTGGATAAAGAAAATAGGATTTAGATTTGAAATGATGAACAAACGTCTAGCATTTATGGTTCAAGAATGTGTACGCCTAACATGCCTGCCAACAAAGGATCGCGACTAATCTTTGTTTGTTGCGGAGAAATTAAAGGATGGGTTCCGAATTCTTTGAAATTATGTGGAAAAAAACTTGAGGACTGCATGTTGACTGTCATAAGAACATTGAAGCTAATATTTTCGAGGAATGGTGTAGGTTGAACTCAACTTATATGGATTTTGTAATGACTATTAGGATCCTTGAGAACTTACTACAAAAATAATTAATGATCCTTCGTTGTTTGAAAGCGATCTTTGTTTTGATTTGATTTTCTTGCCTTCAAACATGAAGGCATATTCTTTTTATTTGTGCATCTCACACCCAAGCAGAATTTCAATTTCAAATACGTCTGGAACAATAATTCAGTTCAATATAGTTTGCACAAGATGTAGGTGTACAGGTATGATTTATATCTTGCAGATGTATTATTCTGATTGAGTTGGAAATTTTATG